CCCCGCCACAATATTCGAGGTTAAATATGTCACATTTACTAAATAGAAGCCTCTCCTATGTAAGGAGATATGTATGAATTGTTATTTTAAGTCTTTGTCAATAAAAGGCAAGGAATGCTTTTTCTCTTTGTTTTCCAAATATTTATTCATCAGAAATCTTTCGAGTAGTTACTAAAGTATGGAATTCTTAAAATAAGCCATCAAAAACAAGTTTACAATATCCTTTAACGGATCTGTTACGTCGTTAAATGACAAATTGAACTATTTCATCAACATAATTAATGTTTGTTTTTCTTAAACCAAATTCCTTAACTGAATTGTAATGTCATTAAATGTTTCAAAAACTCTACCAGGTGGGTGGCTTAGATCCAAAAATGGAGTCGCGTCCGGAACGGGAATTTCCAAATAGCCCCCACACCCATTAATGTTTTCCTTCTTTTTCCTTTCTGAGACCTCAGGATGTCTTTCTCTTCCTAAATGATATTCTAACCACAATGGATGTTAATTGTAGACGTCGTTGTGTAATCAAAATGTAATAGGATGAGAAATGTATTCTATTCCTCTTGTGACATTTGCTTTACAGCAAGTTTGATTAGCGAAATATTTCATTGGTCACATGAATGGCGAGTTAAGAATATCTTTACAAAGGTGTGTACAAAGATAAAATTGGTAGTGTTTTTCCGAGAATTGTCTTTTTCATAATTACTCTGCATGTTATACGAGATACAAGCTGCGTTCCCAATGAGTACATGTGTAGTTCCTGTGATAATTTTCACGTTATGAATGATGAAATGCTGGCATTAATGTATTCTGTGTTATTCATAAAGAAAGCGTCAACAAATAAATAATAAATTGATAAATAAATAAATGCTTTTATTCGGTTCGAGCTTCGCGTAATAATGATCTACCTGCTGAGATATTGTCAGCATACAGAGTCAATTTGTTATACTTGAAATATCAGATAATACACAATAGGAATCACCTTAGTGAAAACCTTGTCAGTGTAGTGTAGCAGCAATTATGAACACATTATTTATCAACTTATATAGCTCTTTCTGGCACGGATGGAAGTGTGCATTGGGGTCTTTAAGTTGGTGGAAACTGGAGCTTCTAGAAAAAAATCTCTGAGGACGAACATATGACACCACACCTTTGCTTTACCAATTAGGGAATGGATCCATTGACTCCTGAGATAACTACAGTATTTAGCCCACCGTCCGACCATCCCCATGATAACATAAACTGCCCAGGTACATCGTGAATTCTATTCAACATCCTGGTCTATAAATATACTATCATCTTTCTAGTAAAGGTGTTCCTAGTTTCATTTAAGAACTGGCAGTGAACCCATCTGAAATCTTTACAGAACTATACATGTACTCTTCAAAGGAGGAAGTATACATCTACCATTACAAGCAACAACACCAACAACGCCTATTGGCATGGCAAAAATAGTATATTATGTTCATAAACACAACCACGCCCTTCAATTAGATGCACATAAAATGTACATTTCACTCACAAGGCGTAACTCTTTAAACATGACACTTCAGGAATGCAGTAATATATAATTGGTATTGATTTAACTAGCGTTCTGGAATGTTGTTTATTTCATCTAATATTGGCACTTTTCCCAACATGTGATGATTTGTTAACTTCAAAATACACTGATGAGGCGAATCTTTAAAATGTTCATGAAAGATCATTAGTTTGATTTCTTTTAATTCAAATGTATTGTTGTTTTTATTTTTTAAGTAGTCCTATATGTCTATCTAAAGTCTTCCGGATATTTAACCATTTATTTAATTAATAATATAAGAAAATAAAACAGCAACATATATGATATAGGGATATAAATATCTTGCTTAAGATAAATAAAAAAACAAGAAAATATGAACAAAATAAATATCTACACGAAGACTCCTGAAACACTGCTTTGGGAATAAGATCAGATGTTCCATGAGAATAAGCGTCTTCTGCTTTCTGCTTCATCTTGGACAAATTTTGGTAAATCTGAGTACGTTATGTCAAGTTCACAAATGAGAACAAGACATATAGCACTATCACTATCCCCATAATTTCTTAAACCCTGTGTTGTAAGTTTGTCCGACATTGGGTATACACGATAAACAGGGTCAATACATTTATTGTTATTTAAAGGCAAAAGGACATCAGATATCTTAAAGTGAAAATAAAGGATTCAGCAAGGCTTTTGTGACCTGTTTTGATACGCTCATTGATAAATTCAGCACTGTTTAAAAACAAGAACAGGTCAGCAAATTGTGGGTCACAAAATATTTAGTGATTTAGTCCAATCTATTTTCACAGTATTAGTCCTGTTGAAGTTTCATATAGAAATCGGATATTTCATTTTGCTTAATAAAGTTCGGGCGTATTTTATGAAACTTTGAAAGTTTAATGTTTTGGTTTAAAATCTTATTAAAACTACAAGAAAATTACAATATTTGAACATATCATAATCCAATCTTAAATTCAATAAAACTATGGCAAGATGCCAACAAAAGTTCAAGAAGAATCAGACTAGTTGCCACGAATGAGTAAGCGTCCTCTTCATCGACGACACCTAAAGGGGTAATTTTGGTCAATCCAAGTGAGCAATGACACGTTCTCAAATTAGAAAATGGCATAATGATATAAAACAACGGAACCAACAGACAAACAACATTTTGCTTTGAGTACCTTTACAATCATATAGATATGATGAAGTCGTGAGAATAGTAGAATATCCGTGCCGTTTTTAATTGTGTTGTAATGTATCTCCACTGTCTATCGTAGCATGCGCGATTGGTAGCTAAACCCATCTCTTGGCTGACTGTTTTGTATATGAGATTAAATCTATTTGGTTTAAACTTTATTGTGGTAATAGCAGTTGTACATATAAATGATACTAATTACAGGATCTATTTAATGATAAATGAAATATTTATATTGGATCTAGCCGCCGGAATAAGAAATGAAGGCCATTATTGACCCTTCTATGGCAGCCTCGTTATTCTATCTAACCTTATGGCGCAGTTGTGATACTGTATCATTTGTGTAATGATTTTTATCGTTCCTAAAGTAGATATTCTATTCCTGACAAATTATCTTCCTGACCAATTCTTACAAACTCAAATTAATCTTTACATTGTCTCACATTTACCTTTTTGTATTTTTTAAACTAAAAAGGTCACATAACTAAATTGGGTTGACGGGTTAAAGTAACAATATCGATACATACTTTATTTATATCAATAACTCACAGATTGCATTCCTTCTTCATAAAATATTTAAAGCATCATAAATTCAAACAAAACCAATTATTATTTGCTGCAAATTATATAAATCGTAAGTCGTAAAATCTATGATTTCCCTTAGGCTTTATAAAACTAAAAACGTAATAAATACGCTGTTTAAGTTTTCTTTAAACACATAATAATTAGATGTTACAATAAGATATCTGTATCTAGAAGCTGCAAATAATGAAATGGTGGATTAACTATGTTTCCTGGTTTGGTTATATGGAGGAAAACCTTATTAAAACAATGTGGTTTTTCTCCGTACAAACCAACTTGACACTATTTAGATATGGTTTTTCACATCGCTTATCAATAATACGTTACAATCTGAATATCATAAATGCATTGTTAAGTCATTGATTATTGTGAAACGAATTCTTAGGGAAACTTTAATATCGAATTGAAGTGCAATAATACAGTTCCATTTGTCATCGTTCAAGTACTAAAAAGCATGAATTTTCGTGGTCAATTAATTTTTGTTGACTTTTTTGGTATTCTTAATCCACGAAGTTATATGGCAACGGATTGTAAAAGAAAGTACATATAGAATAACTTATTTATTTATTTCTTATCCAAGAAATCAATTATCCACAAAATAGCGTTTGTTGAAAACCACGAAAATCAATACTCAGTAAAATATAGAATTTCACAGTAATTAAGATTTCAACTGGCCAGTCCGCCATTTCTATCGTACACTTGATCGTATCTTTAATGTGTCAATACTGTAAAATATTAATTTTCCTCTGAAAATAAGTTTACGTGGTGATCAGATACCAATACTTCATTTTTATTGTACAACTAACTAATCGGCAAAACGCGATTTTTTTTTCAGAAATTTCAATAATTCAAATTTAGCAACTGATGTAATCATTCTTATCAGAAATTAACCATCCACAAAAATATACAGATCTGTATCTTTTTCTACCATTGTGTCCCAATGATATGATCAGCAACAAGGATGTCTTCCCAAAGGGGCGTGGAATCATGATTGCTTTACTAGAATAGTATAAACTTCAGGTTTATATGACTCTTTTACATATTTGAATGTATGAAACGTTCCCCAAGTCACAGACAAAAATAAACGATATTTTCTGGGAATTTTCGAAATGTTCTATATAAGAACTAAAAAGTTGAATTGAATCAGTGTCTAACATAGTTTAGAGAACACAATGTATTTGCATCGCGTGTTGCAGGTAGCTATAATTCCATCATAGATAATGCAAATTAGATTGAGTTTTAGTTCAAAAGATGAAAATTCTAGATAGAGTGCAAATTTCGAGTAAATATGAATGATGATAATTACGTTGTGGTTTATTTTTATTAAAGTAAACTCATAAAGCGTAAAATTAATGGAAAACTCATTGGACGGGAACACAACCCGTATTTAAATGCACACAAATATTTATATTTCTTTGTAATTTTCCTTGTGTGAACGTTTGTATGCGTCTGATAGTTTTCATTAAATATTTTTCTACAGAATACATATATACTTAAAAGCTCGAAACTGATATTTGTATACTGTTTGACGAGATATATTCTGCAATTGGCTCCTTATTAACAAAACAGTGGTATTATTATTTATCTATGTGACAATATAAAGTAAGACATTTGCATCTTCTCTAGATATCACTATTCCTTACCATTGTTCATGGGAACCCATTACAAACGTGCCGGGAACCAGATGAAACGTACATCAACATGATGCGGAAGAGCGTACTAGAAGATTTTGTGTACATGTCTGAGGCACATGTACACGTGGATGAAGTTAACCGACAGTAAGTTAATATAAAACTATTAATTGATGTTTATGTACACCAGTGACTTTAAAATGATTCATTTATACTTGTCTGTATTCCACCTGTTGCCGTTTTAGTCTCACTTCATTCAAATATGTCAGGAATGTTCATATTCTTTGAGATGATATTTTTCTGATATTTTATTGATACATGCATGGTTTCATTGAGCAGTACGGAAATGTCGTTTAATATTTGTTTTCGTTTATTTTTCTTAAGGATTAAAAGAGATTGTCAGTCAAGAACCTTGCTCGCTGGTGAAAACAGCTTTTCATTGTGTCCAACATACCAGGAACTTGACAGGGATGAAAGGCGAACGCCAATTGACATACTTCAAACCAGGTGTTACTGCGATCGCTGTGCCATGCGCCGTAGGAGGCGTTATCAGTATAAATGTACACCCGTCTTCCGGTACATACCTGTCCTAATGAAGGTAGGCTGCACAAATAGCATATATGATTACATGGTAGCTGAGCAGAAGGTTTCGGTTGCATGTGTTTGTTCGGAGAAACTTAAATCGAAGTTTAATCGAAGAACTGAAATATCTACTAAACAAAGAATCGAACATGATGTGACTAGAAATTCTAACACAGAAAATAAAGCTACGCATTACAAAAGGATTAGACAACCACGGCCTGTACAGATTGACTCTGACGTGGAGGCGACGCCTCATGCGTTTGAATCAACAGATACCATCGACTTTGCTCAAAACGGAACCAATGACGGCGAAGTGCAAAGGCATCATACAGAAGGAAGTCTGCTGGAAACAGAGAAAATGGCGCGTACTTTTGTGTCAACAGACGACAATATTGATTCGTCTGAAGAAATACAGACGGAAATACATGTTCCCGAAACTGAGAAAATGCCAGTTGACTTTGAGTCAATGGAGGGTATAGCTGAATCCGTTGAAACAGTTTCAACAAGGACAAACCATCATGGATTGACGTCACATCCGACAGAGAGAAAATCTCAAGATTTCAAATCTACAAATGCAGAGCCCCAGAACGTTTTTCCTCCTGTTGATCCGGAAATGTCATCTGTCTATGACGATATACAAGGATATGATACGAGTATTGAGCGAATGCCGAAATAAAAAAAGTATTGATAGAAGTTTTACAATTGCCGAGATTTATCATCTACCTGTCAGAGTTTACCTATTTTACATATTTAATGTTAACAATATATTGATTTGTTTATTCTTTTAGTTTAAATTGAGTATTAATGTTGATGTTTTGTTCTGATTAAAAATCTTATTCTATCATTAATGTTATTATTTTCAACATGGAGATGGAATGGAGCAATGTCTCTACATTATCGGTTTATTTTACAGGTAAGTTAGAATCAACGTTACTGGATATCACGGATGGCTTATAAACATCCTCTGCATGACTGTCAAAATGTTACGTGGTTCACTTATCTTAAGGTGAGGATTGAAGCTCATTCCTGTTCTACCTCGTTTATGTATTCCGGTGTTTACACTATTGATAGATTTAATATTGTTCCACATTTCCCTACTTTATATGTTCAATTGTCTTTCAGTACAGCTGTCTTTCATGTTGTTAGATATATAAAACTAAAATTCGAAATTAACAAATGACTCATTTTCAGTGTGTTACATCTTTTTATCGAAACTATTTACCATACATATTACTTCTATCAAATAATGGTTTCAACTGTATGATACCACTATTTAATTCATATGAGACTCGTCATTTGCTAAGGGCTGAAATTGATAAACCTAGAAGATGACTGAACATAATCAAATTAATAAACCAAGAAGGTGACTGAACATAATCAAATTAATAAACAAAGGAGGTGACTGAACATAATCAAATTAATAAACAAAGGAGGTGACTGAACATAATCAAATTAATAAACCAAGGAGGTGACTGAACATAGTCAAATTAATAAACCACCAAGGAGGTGACTGAACATAATCAAATTAATAAACCAAGGAGGTGACTGAACATAATCAAATTAATAAACCAAGGAGGTGACTGAACATAATCAAATTAATAAACCACCAAGGAGGTGACTGAACATAATCAAATTAATAAACCACCAAGGAGGTGACTGAACATAATCAAATTAATAAACCAAGGAGGTGACTGAACATAATCAAATTAATAAACCACCAAGGAGGTGACTGAACATAATCAAATTAATAAACAAAGGCGGTGACGGAACATAATCAAATTAATAAACAAAGGAGGTGACTGAACATAATCAAATTAATAAACCAAGAAGGTGACTGAACATAATCAAATTAATAAACCACCAAGGAGGTGACTGAACATAATCAAATTAATAAACAAAGGAGGTGACTGAACATAATCAAATTAATAAACCAAGGAGGTGACTGAACATAATCAAATTAATAAACCAAGAAGGTGACTGAACATAATCAAATTAATAAACCTAGCTAGTGACTGAAACAAATCAAATTCATAAACCTAGGAGGTGACTGAACATAATCAAATTAATAAACCACCAAGGAGGTGACTGAACATAATCAAAATAATAAACCACCAAGGAGGTGACTGAACATAATCAAATTAATAAACCACCAAGGAGGTGACTGAACATAATCAAATTAATAAACCACCAAGGAGGTGACTGAACATAATCAAATTAATAAACCACCAAGGAGGTGACTGAACATAATCAAATTAATAAACAAAGAAGGTGACTGAACATAATCAAATTAATAAACCACCAAGGAGGTGACTGAACATAATCAAATTAATAAACCACCAAGGAGGTGACTGAACATAATCAAATTAATAAACCAAGGAGGTGACTGAACATAATCAAATTAATAAACCTAGATAGTGACTGAAACAAATCAAATTCATAAACCTAGGAGGTGACTGAACATAATCAATTTCGTTGTAGCCAATGTCAACTCTCAGACGTTGGAATTTAAATTTTGAATTACTCTCCTGTCAATATTTTTGTCCGATGCTTCCGGTTGAATTCTTAATACAGAATTTCTAAGAGTTTTGTTATGGACAATAAACTTTTTATTTTCTCCACGTCTTTTCTTTCTCACAACAGCTTATAAAAAGAAATCAATGTACACTTAGGCTTAGCCAAATAAATATGTTTAGAAAATGTAGTAAGCAACCAATCATTTTAACATATCATAGATTCCATTGCACAATTGCTTGAGTGTATTCTACTTACAAGAATTATACAAAAAAAATTAATCATTGCATGAATTCGATTTCCCAATTACAGTTTGATGAAATATTTTCGCGGGGCTCAATTTTTATGTTGATGCTTAACAGTTCATGGACATATGAATCGTGGATTGACAGTAACAATGAAATCAAGACAAAGATACAACCTACGATGAATACTCGATATGTTTCCATATGGATAACACAGACATACAAAGCAAAACAAGGAATATACATTAGAATACTATTGCGACGTTTGCTTATGAGTATACAATATATCCCCAAAGAAGTTACCAATCGAGATCCTAAACTGCAATGATAAAGATATGTAGAATTGTATCATACCATAGTGTTCCACTTTACTAAAGATGGTTATTGATCGTTTGATAAAAATAAAACTGTGTTCGTTTAGTTCAAAATTATAGCCGTAATTTCAGTCAGATTGTTTTACTGTAAAGACCGATTTTTTATTGTTCAAATTTTTTGCAGAGTTTGATGCAGAAGGGATTTACTTTTAATACTATTTTTTCTGATCTTATTAACTCATAGATAACGGCGGAAAATTGTAACAAACAGAAATGTGTAATTTGTTAACAATGAATATACAAAAGTATACGGACTCGCAGCCGGACACAACCCAGCCATTCAAAAAGCCAGAAGTCATATCACTCGCAGCCAGGACACAAACTAGCCATTCAAAAAGCCAAAAGTCATATTGGACTCACAGCCGGACACAACTTAGCCATTCAAAAAGCCAAAAGTCATATTGGACTCACAACCGGACACAACTTAGCCATTCAGAAAGCCAAATGCCATATCGGACTCATGGCCGGATACAAACTAGACATTCGAAAAGCCATACAAAATCATTTGTTTTAATGTCAGTATCAAGCTTTAAGTGCTGAATCACGCAAGCCAATGCGTGTGGTGTATATCTATGTCAATACTACAGAAGAAACTCGATCCAATATTTCTTCGGTCACGCAATGAAATGAGGTTGTTAAGCGATTGCATTTCATTTTCTACACTGATTGTCTTGGATTACAACTCCTCCCATTGTCCGATATCGTACCATTCAAAGTGTTGATAAAATCCCTTAGAAATCCAAATTCCACAACTAGGAAGATTTTCTGAATGTCTGTACGGCAAATTTCTTGACTACGGAATCGGAAACGGTCGAAACAAATGTTAATCCTATTTTAATTATAAAAGGAAATATATAGCTCCTTGGATTTTCCTTCGATAGCTGTATAAATCTTCTTGTTGTCACCATTATCTAACACTCCTCTCAAGCAATAAAAGTATGAACACTATGGCCCATCAGGTAAGGTTGATTTACAAAATAAGCTATCACTTTAGTGTACCGTTAATACATATGGTATAGTAAAAAAAGAGCATTCGTAGTAGAAGACATCATAGATATATTTCCGTTTGAGCTTGGAACATAATTGTCATTTATGGTTGATATAAATGACAATGTTTGCAGTCAAACATCATATTAGGCTGTAATGCAACACATCAATCGTCTGCAAATAGTTGACAGTTATTTCAAGCATAAATGATTCAGTTATAAATTCTGTTCATGTTATTGTCCTTTGTGTACTGCTAATCAGTTCTAGCTGAATACATTATTCCTTACAGATTGGCAGTGCAGCGTTGCTGTCTCTATGTGAACAATTACAAAGTTAAAGATACATGATATATAGTATCTTAAAGGACATATTTCCTAAGAATTATATATAGTCGTCACGTCATGTAAATATCACATTATATGATAAACCACATTGCATTTAGTCTGATTATTAGATGGAAAAAACTCTGTATGTTACAATTTCAATTATCTGTTTATCATTTGATATGTTTATAATATGTTTTCAAATGTTCTAGCTGCATTTCTTAATATATATTTTCACAATTGTGCTTAATACATATTTGTTCATACATATTGGTGATATACTTTTGCCTGTAACAATTTTGGTTTCAGAATTTCCCCATGTGTTGTTAATACTTTCAGGATAACGAGTGTTTATATCATAATAACATAAAATAAAAATATGCTTATATATATATATATATCTTCTATAACAAATTATCCAAAATGCAGACATTGATATGATATCAGCTATTTTTATAGGTAGCTGATATGAACTTCTTTTTATACCAATTGTCATTTATTTCGTAAGTTCCTTACTTTAACAGTACAATGTACTCTAGTTCTAAAATTTAAATTTTGAAGTAGCAGCTTTTTCATATTTTGGAAAGTTACCAAGAAGTGTGTCTCATTTATTTTCAGCTTTGGATGGTATAAGAAACTAACTTTCTTTCTTAACGTTATTTAAGGAGGCCTCAATGGACAAAATACGAACATGTAAACATAATCATAATCTGAATCTAGGTCAATGAAACTAGGGCAAAATATGAACAAAAGAGGAAGACTCCTTAAAAGGTACAAAAAAGGGATAAGACCAGGTTGTCCGGAAACGTAGGTGTCTTATGCTTCATTGACGACACCTGCCATGTAACCTTTGGTCAATCCAAGTAGTATCACATTCTCAAATGAGAACAAGGTATACAACAACGGAACCAACAGGAAAATTAACCAGCATAAAGCACGCCTAGCTTCATATAGAACACAAAAAAGAGAAAACCTTCTCCAACATTGTCATCAACCAGCATATTTTGTATGTATTAGCATTTTATCCGTCAGTTGACGACATCTTCTCGAAAATTGTGATATTTAGAACAGGCTCTTAAATATCGAATCAACTGAGAAAGTAAATGCCATAGGTTTTGGATGCATAGCTGTTGCTATCAAGAAATGGAAACTATATCATAGGGAAAATGAAAGCATCACACTTATCATACACCTTAGTGGAGAGCTGTTCGTGTTGGTTTCATTGTAGGAAAAGAT